ACATGTATATATCTCTAATGTATATATATATACATAATTACTCTAATGTATATGTATATATATATATATATATATATATACATTAGAGTAATTATTAGAGCCATTCTAATATAGACAATATGTTCAATTAGAATATTCATCTCATCTAACAAAGCTACTGTTTCTAAAAGTTGCATACAAAATTCTTTCAACAGCTCTTAAATTCTGTTGGATAAGATTATTTTAAATATATATATATATATAAAGTAATTAGACAGTAATAAGTAATTAATTAAGTAATTAGAGCTATTATACTGTAATTATAGAGATATTACATAATATAATTGCATTCTGTTTAATTTTTAAATATGAATTAAAAAGAAATTGTTTGAAAATAAAGCAAACTTTGAATTATTTTTGTTTCTTTTGATATTTTTGTCTAATGAAATACTTGAAATGATGTTTCACATCTATTAATTTTCACATATTTTTTAAGATTTTCAAATCATTCAGATTATATTTTCAGATTATTCTAATAATATACAGTTGAGCACATAAATGGAATGTTAATAGTGAAATAATTATTGAGAGATGAAATAGCTAAAAATAAAAAATGAATTGAAAATTTTACAGAATAATATGTAAATTTTAAAATTAATTTACAATAATTATTTCATTGAATTTTAGACAAACAAAGAAAATACATTATATATATTTTCTTTATATTTAAATATATAAAGAAAAATAAAGAAAATTTACAATACGTTTTCAAAATCTAACCTTTCTATTAGGAATCCTTCTGGAACTTGAGATGCTAATGTAGCACCTACTACTATAGTGGGAACAGCTAAAAGAAAAAATTTCCATCAATAATTTTGATATTTTATTTTTAAAATTTCAAATATTTTAAATATTATTTTATAAATATTTACCCCATCCCATAGCAGCTACTTTTAATTCTGGATATTTTATACTTTGTAAATTGGTAAATTCAATATAAACAATAAGTCCTAGACATAACTGCATTGAAAAGGCAGCAAGAAGAAAGAATTGTATAATAGATAATATGTACGAATAATATTCCTAGAAAACATTAATAATTTGATTATTAGTATTTAATAAAAAATTTATAAATGGAAAATTTATAAATGTTTAAATTTTATTATTAAAAATTTACCTTTGATAGAGATTCTTGAAGACTTTTCAAAATTGCAATGTAGGCACCTATTAAGGCAATACATACTTGAAGTTTTAATGCTGTTATGGCACCCCTTAATTTTCTAATAAATAAGAAAATAGATAAATTTAATCATTTAATGTATTACTAAACAGTAATTATGTCAGATTTCAGTAGTAAAATACCTATGACATTAAATTAAAATGTAAATAGTCAATAACTTATTATTTTTTCCAAATATGCTTAATTTTAACTATCTCTTAGGTATTTCAAATTCAGGGACAAATATTTTTATTAATTATACTGAAAAGAAGTTGACATCAACTTCTTTTCGTTAGCAATGCCTGATACAAATTATTTTAAGCATAAATATATCTTCATACTCCTATATTTAAAGTACTACACATTACATATTTTGTAAACTCCAAATAAATTTATAATTTTTTAAAAATTATACATATTATTATTTATGTTATGTTTTATTCACTCTAATATTTATTCTGTATGAGTTATCTTTATTTGAAATCATAGAGAGGTCTGATTAAAGAATTATAATTCTCGATAATTAAGAATAAGTTGTATTTATTTATTTTCAACTACTTATTAAAGTAACTTATTTAAAGAACAAAGAATGTATATGAATAAAAAATAAAAAAATTAAAGAAATGCTTTTTATTCACACAAATGCACTAAAAAGTAAAAAACAGATTTTTTTCAGCTTTCACAGTATTCATGGTATTACATGACCAAAAATAAAAGCATGTAGTGTTCATGAGAAGCCCATCTTTTAATGCATTTTTGTGAATAAAAAGCATTTCTTTAAGTTTTTTTAAAATATTTTTTATTTTCTACTTTTTAGTTTTATGTATGTAATACTAAATTATCAAAATTCCTCTTAGTTTAGCATTTAATTGAAAAGTGGGTAAAAATTGAGTTACAAGATTTTATCTAGATAAAAGACTAAAAAAGAGCAAGAGACTTGCCGTTTGCACTCACAATTTGTTAAGCCTCATGTAGTGCCATCTTTTATTATATTTTATTTACAAATTTTAATTTTTCACTACAGTAATTTCTAAAATTTTTTGCAAATTTTAAAAAATGTATTGTCATCGGGAATACATATGTATACAAAGTTTCAACTAGATTGGAAATTGGGACGTGCATGAAAATTGAGATACAAGATTTTATCTGGACATACAAGACATATAGAGTAAGTTAATAAAAAATGTAAAAAAAATGTCTTTTGTATAGGAAGATATTTTTCATATGCATTTTAGGTAAAATTAATAATGTTTCATGTATATTTAAGTGAATAAATATGATAGGCCTCCAGCTAATTTGATGCCAGTTAATTTGACACATTAACTAAACATGAGCATTATAAAAAAAATCATAATAATTGACTTTATTCTCTTTGTTAGATGAATATTTTCATAAAAATATTAATATTTTCTTTACCAAGGATTCACATGTAATTTATATAATTTTTAAGTTTTTATGTAACTATTTGCTTACATTAGAAATTAATTAATACTTCATAAATAAAACATTTATTACATTATAAAAGGTACTTTTATGCTAGAATCTATGTTTGCTAGGAATAATTAGTATACAATATATTATACACTAACTTCAATGTATTGTAACAAACCTGACAGTGCAGACTCTCAAGCTGTAATTTTGAAAAAAGCTGGCATTGTGGTGGCCTTAAAAAATTTGCACAAAAAAGCCAACTGCCAAAATTTTAATCAAAATGTGACAGTTTTTACAATTTAGATAGGATTTTTTAATGCAAAGTGTACAGAAATAATAATCTTAATCATACGTGGTGTGTTCAAAAAGTATCGGACCTTTGGTCGGCAAAAATAAATTTATTGACTTTGAGGTACAAAACCATAATCCCCTTCAAAGTAGTCTCCTTGGTAATGTATACACTTCTCCCAGCATTCCTGCCATTGCTGGAAACACTGCTGGAACGCATCTTTTGGAATGGCCATCAGCCGGTCTGTCGGATTCTGCACGATGTCTTCTCTCGACTAAATTCGGGTTCCTTTTAGTGGCATTTTCAGCTTGGGAAATAGCCAAAGGTCACATGGAGCCATGTGGGGAGAGTACGGAGCGTGACAAACCACAGGAGTGTTGTGTTTGGCGATGAAAGCCCGAATCAGATGCACAGAATGGGCGGATGTGTTATCATGATGGAGCTGCCAAGTTTTGATCGACCACAGATCCGGTCGTTTGCGTCGCACTGTATCGGAAAGACGATGAAGGACCTCCTGGTAGTACTCCTTTGCGATGGTTTGGCCTTGTGGTGCGTACTCACGACACACCACCCCACGAGAGTCGAAAAAAGCTGTCAACATGACCTTTGATATTGCTGTGGACCTGCCTCTCTTTTTTTGGCCTTGAGGATTGTCCCCGAAAGCCTGCTGAATCTTGCGAATGGTTTACACTTGGGTATCGCCAAGGTTTTTGGCAAAATTTGATGTAATATCGCTGCTCACGTTGTTCAGTCATTTTCCAGCTTAGTGGAATCCGACGAGAGCGCACTACATGATCTCACTCATAGGCCAATTGACAACGACTGACACTTCCTGCAGGTGGGAAAAAATTCAGGGCTGTGCATGACTGTCCCCTCCACAACTCCACTGAAGGAGGCCTCTCGCGCATCATTGGTTTATGCGGAAAAAAAAAGGTCCGATACTTTTTGAACAGACCTCGTATGTAAAAATTTATTTTATTTTATCATATATGTTTAGATTACTTTGCAGTATAGTATAGAACAGTCGTGAACAACCTTGAACGTGAACAACTGGATACTGACCACAATTTCCAGCTGAATTTCTGAAGCCACTCAAGCTGTGCTTCAGAAATTCAGCTGGGACATTTACCATACAGTAACGATCTAGCCCTAAGTGAACTTTGTAGGCTTCTGGTAGATTGCATGCAATTTTTTCTATGAAGTTGTAAGCTGCAAGCCTGCTGAGTACAAAGATACTAAATACAGCCACAACCACATAAGATACACTAGGTACTATGTTCTATCTCTAGAATTCTAACACTATGTTCTATCAGTTTTTGTTTGAACCACTACAAACAATCTCAGGTGAATATGTTTTTTGGTTTTTTTTAAACTGATAAATTGAGATTCAATTTATAGATGAATGACATATTTTTTTAAGGTTTTTTAATCTTTTCTTGTACCATTGATAAAACTGTGTATCTTTTAATTTTTATTTTTTTGACAAAATTTTGATATATCTTTATTTAAAGAGAACAAAAAACTCAATTTTCCCTGAGCAGCAAAGTAACAGATATTTTTGATGGTGGTGACATGTTGACTTAGAATAGAAATATATTGAATGCTAGTAGACATGCTAGTTTTAAAGATTTGCAGAAGTACTTTAATTTCTGAGATCCCTGAATCCTATGTAATGGTTTTCACACATGATAATATTCATTTACATAAGAGCCATCTTATTAACAATTAACTAGCCAGATTTCCAGATTGATTACTAGATCTGGCATTTAAGAAGAAACCCCACAATTCATTAATTCCTTTCCAAATTCTCAATCTTAAGATTAGTGAATTGAAGAATGATCAAAAATGATCTGAAGATGAGATAAATGTTTCAAAGCACATCTGATTAATTCCTTAATTATCCAGATTTCTAAAAATCTGGAAATTAAGGAATCTGAAAATTGCTAAACTATTAATATAAGTACTTCAAATACATACTTCCATAATATTAGCAGCATAAAAAAGGTAAGGCAGAGAAGAAAGGCACCAATGCTACATCCAATACCAGCAATTATTTCAAATTCATCTTGATTGCTTGATTTCTTCTAAAGAGAAATTCCATTAAGATAAAAGAAATTGTTATAACATTATTTACCTCAATTATTTAGATTTAAATGTTTCCTGAAACATAACTTACTGCATTTGTAAATGATGTCAAAAGAACAGCATACATTCCCATGCGATAACATTGGCAAGTTGTATAATTTCCTCTGACACTAATTACTTGACAACCATCCATCAAAAAATCAAATTTACTGTTGGAAGAAAAATTTAATAAAATTAGAAATTAGTATGTTATGATTTCAATTATATTTTATATTTCAGATGTTTGATTTAATATTGAAAAATAACACATAATCTGATAATACTTTGAATAACAAATACTGTTAGTATTTTATACAGGATATAACAAATCAAATGAACCAGTCCCACAACTTTGGAATTACTAAAGTAGGAGAATCAGACTAATTACAAGGAGCATCCTGAAAATAAAGAATATTTGTGCTATGCACAAACATTCTTTATTTTCTGTGCATAGTACTCTGTACAGATGCTCAATTTAATTTAACCTCCATCAATTTAAGATCAATTTGTTCTCTGATGTATTAGCTTTGCATCTGTAGAGTTTTGATAACAACAGGCTTATTTTTACTGTTTTGTCAAGGGTTAAAATGTGTACAAAAATCGAAAATCATGCCAAATGTGAAGTGCAAACTGTTATTTGTTATCTAAATGCAAAGAATGCTTGTCCCATAAAAGTTCATAAACAAATCACGGAAGTCTAAGGTGATCACATTTTGAATGAAGCAAGTGTGAGAAAATGGTGTTTAATATTTAATCAAGGAGGATAACACGCAACCACACTCTACTGGAGCCACTCAAGCTGTGCTTCAGAAATTCAGATGGGACATTTACCATACAGTCCCAATCTAGCCCTCAGTGACTTTTACCTCTTTTCCAAACTAAGAGCATTTTTGGGTGGATTTGGAATGGATGAGAGGTAAAAGCTGTCAATAACTGAAAGAACTGGCAATGAAAGTCTATCTCAAAGTAATCCAAAAACTAGTGTCATGTACAGTACTGTGCAAGTACTTTAATCATAATGGTACCAGTATAGTATCTGCTAATTAGTAAAAGTAACTGGTAACAAGTAATTAATACAAAACCATTATTTTCTACTATGTAGTTACTGATCTTGTATTAATTGTACTTAATAAAACTTTTTCCTATCATTACTGTTTCTTCCTTTTTTATAGCCAAATGTTATTTATTTTCCAGACATCCTTCATATGTACAAATGAAGTTCAAATGATCCTACTACCTTTAGTCATTCCCAAGTTATGGGACTGGTTTACTTTATTTGTATTTATGTAACTTTCAATAACATGAATAACATTCCTAGTAGCACAAACGATTGGCTTAATATTGAGGTAATATTGGATTCATTGTTTTTAGACTGATCGACATTACCAGTTAAAATACAATCTTTAGCCAGTGTTTCATTTCAAATATCACAACAAAAAATGCTTTCAACTTAAGCCAGTGTATAAAATTAAAAATACTATTTAAAAGTATATTTATATATTTAAATACATATTAATAGTAATTAGTAAAGTTATTTTTTGAATTAAAAAAGAATTATATTTATGAAAATCTGTTTAAATAATTATTAGCATAGATAAACTGTTGCATTACTTTAAAATACAAATTAATTTAATCAATGTTAATTTTATTATTTAATGTTTCGTCAATCTAATTATTGCCTCTTGAAATATCTCACTTTAACTATTTAAACACAAAATCAGCCAAAATCAGCCAATGGAAAAGTTGTTTGACTAGTTTTCCTACAAATGTTCCCCTTGTAGCCTGATGGGAAAAAAGAATTTTTTCTAAATACATAAATAAAAAATTTTCAGTGCTTAAAGAGTTAAATTGTTAAGAGTTAATATGTCATTTGAGAGAAATTTTTTTAACCTTTGCAAATATTTCTGTAAAATAAAATAGAACAAGTCTATACAAAGATAATAGAATAAATTTTGTTTTATTTATGTAACAGAGGACTGAAAGAAATATAACAAAATTGTTTAATACCCAATAGAAGCAAGTTATTCAATGTATATATTCTAACACTTTTGTCAAATATTAACTGTTTAAAAGCTTCAGCTAATCCCTTTTTGTTGCATTCTTAGCTTCTAACTTGTGTTGGGTTGCATTGAATTGATCTTTGCATCTCAATGGAAAGACTACTCCTATACTCCTCCAGAATGATGGCAATTGGTCAGTCCATTTTCACAATAAAAAATGTAGAGTAAATGATGCAAAACTGATTATTGTCAATATGGGTATTTGCAGAAAATTTTCCAGTGAGGCAAAACTTAGTGACAAATAATTATATCATTAAATTTTTATTTAATTATCTAATTTTTTGGGTTTTCTCATAAGTAGATTAATTATAAAACAATCAAGTAAATATTAATTTTTAAAATGCATACTTATATATTTGTATCAATAGTTTGTATGAAATTAAACTTTTAAATTGTAGCTTTTTTTAATAATTTAATTAACTTAAATTATAATAATATTTACTAACTTGCAAGATAATACAGCAGAAAAAGAAAGAACTCAAAAGAGAATTATCTAAATAAACTTTCACTCAAAATAGTAATGATTATACTTACTTATCAGAAAAATCTGCTATTCCACATGTAATATTTTTCAACATTTGACTCTATAAATTAAAGAAAAAGTAATTCTTGAAATCTGAAATTATTCAATATTTTAACTTTATGTGTTTAATTTTTCTTACTGTAATTTTATTTTCAAATACTAATAGTTGTATTAAAATTTAATACATTATAGTGTATAATTACAAATAGTAATGATTATACTTACTTATCAGAAAAATCTGCTATTCCACATGTAATATTTTTCAACATTTGACTCTATAAATTAAAGAAAAAGTAATTCTTGAAATCTGAAATTATTCAATATTTTAACTTTATGTGTTTAATTTTTCTTACTGTAATTTTATTTTCAAATACTAATAGTTGTATTAAAATTTAATACATTATAGTGTATAATTACAAAATTTCATTCTTATTCTTATATAAAAAGGAACCATTTATAAAACAGCAACTGCACACCGGGTTGTGTAAAAATAAATAAGACCTATTTGAACCTTTAACCGATGTGTGTATAAATTAATCTTTCCAAAACGAACGTTTTCATAACCCCTTCTGGGCTCTTCTTCAGGTATAGCTGGATCGAACATCAAACAAAAAAATTTGAATAAAACCAAACGCTGCTGAGTTTGAATTGCACGGTTCATTCATTTATTTCGTCACGTGATGTTTGAAAGTGTTCGAGGATATCAATAAATGTCCATATTCAAGAGAATGATGATATTAGAATATTTAAAAAACGTGCCATTGAGATACACAATTATCCAATAATGTTCTGAATGTTCCCCAGTGCCTTTTATTTTATTTTTATTTTTCAACACTTAATAAATAGTATACCGTTGTTACTCCGTATGTAGTGCGTTTTGCCATGCCATGGAAAGGCCGATTTCGTCTCTTGAATTAATACACGTGGATGTGTCGTATGCCTTAAAAATTTCCATCTCTTCCAACCACTTTAGGTGATGAATATGGGGTGTGGTGACAATTACACGCGCTCTATTGAAGTCCGCCACAATTTCGGGATCCGTGGTGTACGTGGAGAGTGAGGTGGTGTGTCTGTTGCGTTGTATATCCGACATATGCTCTTTTATCCTAACCCCTAACGAACGTTTAGTCGATCTTACATATATTAGATCCCTGTTAAATCGGTTGTCTCTTAGCGGGATTGTGTAGATGCCTGATAGTTTCTCCACCCTGGATCGGTCCTTTTCGTTGCGTAGGATATCGAACAAGGTGTTGCATCTTCTGTATGTCAGGGTAACTTTTCGTTCTTTTGCGATGGTGTTGTATAAAGACCTCAATAAAGGGTTGAACCTGACAGGTATCCTTTAATTTTCCAACGTCTTGCTAGTATTTTGCGTGGTCGTTGTAGTGTTGGAAGAAGCCTGTGGTTGTTTATGGCCCTCCGAGATTTTTTGTATAATGTTGCAGTAACCATGGGATCTAGCAATGCCTTCCAAGTATTTTAACTTCTCCGTTAGCACCTGTTGGGTAGAAGAGTGCGTGTAAGCCCGTTTAACCAATGCCCTGAAGGCCGCCAACTTGTATTGAACGGGATCACATGAGTTAAACGGTATGTACGCCGATAGATTAGACGGTTTGCGGTAAACAGATGTGCATATGATGGAATCCTCAAAACTTATATCCAAATCCAGGAAATGGATTCTGCTGTTACTATGTTGTTCAATCTCTAGTGACAATCCATATGGGTTCTCGTTCATTTCTTCTAGAAAGCGAGTTAGGTTGGGAGTTGTCCTCCATAAGATAATGATGTCATCGACATACCTTTTATAAAGGATAATGTCTTGGAGGAAATTAGGCAGTGTCCTGTTTTCCAATTGCCTAATAACTAGTTCACATAAATCCCCGGAGACCGAACTGCCCATGGGGACACCTCTTGTTTGCGAGTACATCACCCCTTTAAATTGAAAAACGGAGTTGTAACAAATTAAATCGGCCAATTCTAGTACTTGATGGTGAAGTTCATTGGTGTCCACTTCTTTAAAGAGAAAGTCCCTTAGAGCGCAGAAGCATGGAGGAATTTCAATCGAAGGGTATAAGGATCTAAAATCCAATACTGTGATACAAGACGGGGATGTGATTACTTTGAATTGCTCTATTAAATCCACTGTGTTGGTGATGGAAAATTGGTAGCCCTCAAGATGTGGAGTAAGGATGTTATGTACCGCTTCTTCAAGTTTTCGTGTGGGAGCTTTGGCCTTATCCACCACAGGGCGTAACTGTTGCCCTTCTTTATGTGTTTTGGCAAAGGCAAACAATTTAGGGGCATCAGGCGCATCCATTATAATGTTCTTCATATTTAACCTGGTAGCCAACTTCGTAGAAGCGAACCTTTTAACTCTTGACTGTAACTTATCAATCGCATTATTTTCAACTTCAAGTGGTTGGAAGAGATGGAAATTTTTAAGGCATACGACACATCCACGTGTATTAATTCAAGAGATGAAATCGGCCTTTCCATGGCATGGCAAAACGCACTACATACGGAGTAACAACGGTATACTATTTATTAAGTGTTGAAAAATAAAAATAAAATAAAAGGCACTGGGGAACATTCAGAACATTATTGGATAATTGTGTATCTCAATGGCACGTTTTTTAAATATTCTAATATCATCATTCTCTTGAATATGGACATTTATTGATATCCTCGAACACTTTCAAACATCACGTGACGAAATAAATGAATGAACCGTGCAATTCAAACTCAGCAGCATTTGGTTTTATTCAAATTTTTTCGTTTGATGTTCGATCCAGCTATACCTGAAGAAGAGCCCAGAAGGGGTTATGAAAACGTTCGTTTTGGAAAGATTAATTTATACACACATCGGTTAAAGGTTCAAATAGGTCTTATTTATTTTTATAGAAACCATTTAATCTAACATTAGCAAAATTAGAAAGCTTGCATTTTTTAAATTAAAGTAACTGTCAAATATCTTGGAATATTTCATAAATAACTCCACTTAAAATTTTAATTGCAAAAACGGTGTATAATGTTTTTAAATTCATTTGTAGAAAGCAGCATCTTCTTTATCCAGTGCTTTGACAAAGGTTTTTACTAATTTAAGTTTTATATGCAATAAGCATAACAAAACTTTTTTAAGATCAACTAGAGATATATTCCTTACATTAGCTTGACCTGGAACAAATCATCTCTCTGAGGCCATTCTTTTACTTTAAATAATTTTGTGTTGTCTACTATCCCAAAGACAAAGAAAACAACAGTATTTGGTAAAACCACCCTAAACTCATAGTAACAGCCTTATGAGTCTCCACATATCTGTATTTTAACATTAAGTCTCTGCATTAAGTATTTTTAAATTCCATAAGATCACAAAATCCTTACTTGCCAGAAAATTATTAATTTAATTTTTATGTTCAGTATCTAGGAATTAACAAAAAAATACATTTTTTTACCACAGTTGCAAATGGCTGTAAACTAGTGTTATAAATACATTGTAAACATAAAAATTTTTTATGTACTTTTGCTTGGAAAAAATTCTAATTATTGAAAACTTAGATAAATTTTTAAGACAGTTAAATTGATTAAGGCTAGCTGATTATAGTTTAATGAAAACTGAATATCTGTAAATGTTTGATATATGTTGGAAAATAATACAACATTAAAATTTTAATTTTATTTTGTTTAATCAAATATTTTATATTTATTGTAAATATTTTGGAGTATGTGAGTGAATGATTTTATATAGTTTATAATAATTTATATATTTATTATGCTATAATAATAGATATAGTATATTAAAGTAAATCAACAAAAGCATAATATATTTTAATACTTAATGAATAATATAATTTATATTTACCTTGTTTTTCAAATGAGCCATTTTTACTCTTATTGATATACTTTGTGTATTGATTAAATTTTCTATTCCTATGCCTTTAAATGATACAGCAACTGGTTGCGAATGAAGCTGATATTCTATGTCTAAGCCTCTGGGGTGTATGGTAAATATTAAAATCCTTAGTTTCATTCAAATTAATAATTTAATAAACATTATACAAATAAAATACATTTAGTTTTGATACATAAATTTTTGAAAATATTATTTCTTTGATAAAATTTATAAAGAACTTAGAATTTAATTTTTGTTTTTGAAAACCAATATAAAAACTTTTCTTACCCTAATCTTGTAAAATAATGTTCTGGAAGATATTCTGTGAGATTCTTAAAAAATATAGAAGTGGCACTCATGTTATAATTATCTGTATTAAAAATAAAATAAATTTGCTTTAAAAAATATTAATATAATTCAAACTAATTCATAATCATTTTACATTACTATAAATTAATATTATGATAATGTATGAATCATCAGTGACAATTCACCTATGATTCTTACAATATGGGATTATCAATAAGTTTCAATATAATAAATTTTTTTAAAAACTATATTAGTTATTTTAATAAATAATCAATGGAAACAGTAATCTATACCAAAAGATAATTTTTAAATTATATATAATAACGTTTATAAACTAGAATAAATTCATTATTATATCAAATTTTACTACATTCTGTAATAAAGCTATTTTAGCAATAAATTATTTGAATTGTTATTTAATTTAACATGACAATGATTAAACTATAAGAATAAGTTTCAGTGTTCAAAATTTAAATATTATTTATAATAATGTATTATCATTGTGATAAAAAGATATAAAAATATATACAGTATGCTCATTGTAATTATTATCTAATGATAAAACTTTTTATACTTAAACTGCTATGTTGCTGAAGGTAAATGTAAAATTTTAATTTTTTTTCATATTTGAATAAGAAAAGACTTGTAACAAACAATATATTATTTTGATCTTTAGAAATCTTACAATATTTTATTATAAATGATAAACATACATATAATATATAATTTTTAAATATTTCATAAACTTATTTTGAAAAATATTGCAGCAGAAGCATTATTAACAATTGACAAATAATGATAAGTGATAAATAATTTCAATATTTCATTTATTGTGTTACAAGCATAATGTACAGTACAGTCGACCCCCCTATAATTACGGTCCCTATAATTACGATTCCTATAAAACTACGAAAAAATATACGTATTTTGGAAATGTTGAGTCGGATTAGTGTAGAATCGATTAATTTTATGGAAGAAAACCTTTCAATCAGCCGTAGTCCGTAAACTTGACACGTGTCGGGCTGTGATTGGAACGACTTGTAAGAAATCGGATTCCTAATAAATTGGAACGTATCTATATCTTATAGGGGGGTCGACTGTACATTCTTAGGTAATTTTTATGGAAAGGAAAGGATCTCAAAAAGGAAGAAAATTATATTACAGTAGAGTCCCACTAATTGGAACCGAGCCCTGTTCGGATTAGCAGATTTTCAGATTAGCTGAATAATTGTGAATAATTGAAATAATGCAGAAGCAAGCAGTAAAACAGGTCTGGTTTATATAGATCCAACATCATCAATGACTTTTGTTTCTCTTTTTGTGTGTAAGTACAGTATAGATCTGCTGTTTTAATAGGCCATGTCAAACACTGATTCATTAATTTTGTATAGTATTAATACAGAATTACAATAAAATACAATTTTTTTTTTGTTGTGGAATTCTAAATCTTTTTGTACCATTTAATACCATTTAAATTCAACTGGAAAATACAAAAAAAAACGTATATTTTTTGAGCTAAAAAAATTTCCTTTCCACCGACTGAAACATGTTTGAATTAGGCGGATGTTCAGATTAGCATGACTCTACTGTATCTCTTATTTATTCAAATTGTTTTCTAACTACAATATGAAAGCTAAAATGTTTTTTACAAATTTAATAACTATCAACTTTTAAACAATGTTTAGCATTTATTCCATTTTAATAAAATAAACTATAAAAGATTTAAATCACATTCTTTTCAAACATTTCATAAATGTTTAAACAAACTTGTAGTCTCTACTGTAAATGTTCTAATTGTTACTGTTTGCATTTTCTGTACATATTTCTTTAAGAAAAACAGATAAATAATGAAAAGCTTCAGAAAATCAAAATATTCCTTTATCAGATTGTACTAAACTTACAGAACTGTTATGAACATTATTATCTTATTATTTATTTATTTTATTATACATCATATTAATAGATATGTTGTTATGCTTAAAGTTGATTAGATTAGTAGTTCTCAACTGGTATGCCCCAAGAGAGAACTAAATGCACCATGAGCAAGACTACTGTAATAACTAGATTAGCTTTATGGAATAGCAGTTATTATAATACACAGCTATTTTATAATTTAAAATATATTAAAGACACAAAATTGTCTTCATTTTTTGTCATTTACAAATCACCAGTTTTTTTTATCCATTTTAAATTTTTTTTGTGGAGATGCAGCCTCAAATAAAAGGTCATCTCCATAAGTGAAAATTGTTTTGGACTATTGCTAGTGATTCGTAAACAATGGAAAATGAAAACAATTTTGTATCTTCAATATCTTTATTTATTATATTTTAATATAAGTACTATCAGACAATTTTTAATTTTAATATACTTTTAATTTTGTACACAAAGTGCACCAGAAAAATTTTTCACATTTGTGCCAAGCCAAAAAAAGATTGCCAACCAGTGGATTAGATTGATATAAAAAAAGCATTTTAGATGAAATAGAAAAGACAGTGTTAAGTGATGGTTACATAACAATAAAGATAAATTTACTCTTAACTGAAAGTTGTCATTTTTTAAAATAAGAACACTACAAGAATATAGAACTGATTAGCCTAATAGTCTATGTTTACTATTTTAAGATGTTAAGATGAAATATATATTTATATAATGTTATGGTACGTAGTTATAGTTAAAAATAAATTATAATTGTTAAAATAAATTATTTTTAAATTTAATTTATTTGTCTTTTGTTTTAAAATTTCAGTATAAAATACAAAGTATATAAAAGTAATTAAAATTTTTTAATTTTGTCAATATTAAACTTTAAATGGTTAATTTAAAACATTTCACAATTATTTAAATTTAAAAAATTTTAAAAACCAGTTTTGAAAATTATTCAAATGTTACTTCTACTTTATTCTAAATATCATAAATATGAAATTAAAAAATTCAACAAATTATAGCCATTTATTTCTTCATATATTGTATAGTATGCAAAATATATGCAGATGTAAAAATACTTTAAAATATTAATAGTTTGTTTACAATGGTTAGTATTAATAAATTCTGTTAGATCAGAAAAGTCAATAAAACTTTAAATAAAGTAAAATTTTAACTATTTTAATAATCAATTAGAAATAATTATTTCTATAAGATTTTTATTAATTTTATTATTAAATTTCATTTAAACTTACTATTTTTATCTTCATTTTCATTGTTTATTTCTATTTCAATAGAATTTATTAACCACGATTGGTGAATCTTAGAACGTAATGCATTTCTTGGCCTTTGTAAATGAGGAAATCTGAGGTGATAGGTTTTATCATATTCAATACGTTTAATCTCTAACTCTGTAAGAAATAATTATAATGAATTTAATAAGTGCTAAACTATTTAATATAAACAAAAACAACCCTGTTTGTTAAGAAATCTTATAAAATAAGAAGATTTATGAAAAGTGTTTGAAAACATTCATTTTTATAAAGAAACTTAATAAGTGGAGCTGTTTTTGTTTATATTCAGTTAAGGAAAAGTTGTAAAAAATTAAATTGCTGTTTATAATAAAATATTAAACATGATTTTACTCAAATATATAAAGAAGAAAGTTAATTAGTTCTTTATACATTTCAACATGGTTTTTAGCAATTATAAAACTTTTCAGGGACCATACTCCTATCTAGGAGGAGGTAAACAGTTCAAATTAACTTCAACCCTTGCCCATAACAAGTTTCCCTTTAATCTGACTAATGGGATTGGTGGCATTTGAATAGAAAAATTTCTTAATATGAAGTAATCAGTGAGCACAAAATATCTTTTATGGGTTTTCAAGGAGACCAATTTTAAATATTTGGTCTCTTTTTTCACAAAATTTGATAAGTTGCTTGATTACTATTTCATATTCAGCAGTGACTGAATATGAAATAGTAATCAAGAGTTAGAGTTAACATTAGAAAAGATTTAGATGTCTTGAATTGTCTTCTCATTTTTATCTTCTTCCCACTCTCNACTAAATGCACCATGAGCAAGACTACTGTAATAACTAGATTAGCTTTATGGAATAGCAGTTATTATAATACACAGCTATTTTATAATTTAAAATATATTAAAGACACAAAATTGTCTTCATTTTTTGTCATTTACAAATCACCAGTTTTTTTTATCCATTTTAAATTTTTTTTGTGGAGATGCAGCCTCAAATAAAAGGTCATCTCCATAAGTGAAAATTGTTTTGGACTATTGCTAGTGATTCGTAAACAATGGAAAATGAAAACAATTTTGTATCTTCAATATCTTTATTTATTATATTTTAATATAAGTACTATCAGACAATTTTTAATTTTAATATACTATTTATTTTGTACACAAAGTGCACCAGAAAAATTTTTCACATTTGTGCCAAGCCAAAAAAAGATTGCCAACCAGTGGATTAGATTGATATAAAAAAAGCATTTTAGATGAAATAGAAAAGACAGTGTTAAGTGATGGTTACATAACAATAAAGATAAATTTACTCTTAACTGAAAGTTGTCATTTTTTAAAATAAGAACACTACAAGAATATAGAACTGATTAGCCTAATAGTCTATGTTTACTATTTTAAGATGTTAAGATGAAATATATATTTATATAATGTTATGGTACGTAGTTATAGTTAAAAATAAATTATAATTGTTAAAATAAATTATTTTTAAATTTAATTTATTTGTCTTTTGTTTTAAAATTTCAGTATAAAATACAAAGTATATAAAAGTAATTAAAATTTTTTAATTTTGTCAATATTAAACTTTAAATGGTTAATTTAAAACATTTCACAATTATTTAAATTTAAAAAATTTTAAAAACCAGTTTTGAAAATTATTCAAATGTTACTTCTACTTTATTCTAAATATCATAAATATGAAATTAAAAAATTCAACAAATTATAGCCATTTATTTCTTCATATATTGTATAGTATGCAAAATATATGCAGATGTAAAAATACTTTAAAATATTAATAGTTTGTTTACAATGGTTAGTATTAATAAATTCTGTTAGATCAGAAAAGTCAATAAAACTTTAAATAAAGTAAAATTTTAACTATTTTAATAATCAATTAGAAATAATTATTTCTATAAGATTTTTATTAATTTTATTATTAAATTTCATTTAAACTTACTATTTTTATCTTCATTTTCATTGTTTATTTCTATTTCAATAGAATTTATTAACCACGATTGGTGAATCTTAGAACGTAATGCATTTCTTGGCCTTTGTAAATGAGGAAATCTGAGGTGATAGGTTTTATCATATTCAATACGTTTAATCTCTAACTCTGTAAGAAATAATTATAATGAATTTAATAAGTGCTAAACTATTTAATATAAACAAAAACAACCCTGTTTGTTAAGAAATCTTATAAAATAAGAAGATTTATGAAAAGTGTTTGAAAACATTCATTTTTATAAAGAAACTTAATAAGTGGAGCTGTTTTTGTTTATATTCAGTTAAGGAAAAGTTGTAAAAAATTAAATTGCTGTTTATAATAAAATATTAAACATGATTTTACTCAAATATATAAAGAAGAAAGTTAATTAGTTCTTTATACATTTCAACATGGTTTTTAGCAATTATAAAACTTTTCAGGGACCATACTCCTATCTAGGAGGAGGTAAACAGTTCAAATTAACTTCAACCCTTGCCCATAACAAGTTTCCCTTTAATCTGACTAATGGGATTGGTGGCATTTGAATAGAAAAATTTCTTAATATGAAGTAATCAGTGAGCACAAAATATCTTTTATGGGTTTTCAAGGAGACCAATTTTAAATATTTGGTCTCTTTTTTCACAAAATTTGATAAGTTGCTTGATTACTATTTCATATTCAGCAGTGACTGAATATGAAATAGTAATCAAGAGTTAGAGTTAACATTAGAAAAGATTTAGATGTCNATTTTCATTGTTTATTTCTATTTCAATAGAATTTATTAACCACGATTGGTGAATCTTAGAACGTAATGCATTTCTTGGCCTTTGTAAATGAGGAAATCTGAGGTGATAGGTTTTATCATATTCAATACGTTTAATCTCTAACTCTGTAAGAAATAATTATAATGAATTTAATAAGTGCTAAACTATTTAATATAAACAAAAACAACCCTGTTTGTTAAGAAATCTTATAAAATAAGAAGATTTATGAAAAGTGTTTGAAAACATTCATTTTTATAAAGAAACTTAATAAGTGGAGCTGTTTTTGTTTATATTCAGTTAAGGAAAAGTTGTAAAAAATTAAATTGCTGTTTATAATAAAATATTAAACATGATTTTACTCAAATATATAAAGAAGAAAGTTAATTAGTTCTTTATACATTTCAACATGGTTTTTAGCAATTATAAAACTTTTCAGGGACCATACTCCTATCTAGGAGGAGGTAAACAGTTCAAATTAACTTCAACCCTTGCCCATAACAAGTTTCCCTTTAATCTGACTAATGGGATTGGTGGCATTTGAATAGAAAAATTTCTTAATATGAAGTAATCAGTGAGCACAAAATATCTTTTATGGGTTTTCAAGGAGACCAATTTTAAATATTTGGTCTCTTTTTTCACAAAATTTGATAAGTTGCTTGATTACTATTTCATATTCAGCAGTGACTGAATATGAAATAGTAATCAAGAGTTAGAGTTAACATTAGAAAAGATTTAGATGTCTTGAATTGTCTTCTCATTTTTATCTTCTTCCCACCATCTCTTTTTATTAAAAAAAAAAACTTTTCTTCTATAGCAGACTCTTAATTTCAAAAGTATATTTTATTCAAAAACTTTAAATTAGTCATGTTAGTAAAATATAATAACTTCATATTATTCAATTTTTGTTCCTATCATATCAAATTCTTTATACATTTATAAAAATTTAAATATAAGGTGCTAAATGTGATGTTTTATTTTCATTTTTCAAAAAACATAGAACTTAAATTTTTGTTTTTGTAACACTTTATTATTTAACTGTGTTAAAAAAATTTTTGGAAATATTTTATTTGAATAATAATTTTTACAAGATTATGAATTAATTGCAGAATATATTATTTCTAGCTAAAATATATATTCAATATATTTTTCAAACTTGTTTTACTTTATTACTGATTAAATATATTTCATTTATTATTACTTAAATATATTAATTTTTAAACAAACTTTTTCACATAATAAACAAATATTTTATGAATACAAATGAATCATACCAAATAATTCTTTTTGATATACTTCAAGACTATCTACTTCGATTAAACTTCCTCTTATTTCACCAAATCCTTTAATATTGTTATATAACTTGAAAATATGCTGAAATTTAATAAATAAAAATATATGATTATATCAGAAATATGTTTTAAAAGTGTTATTAATAGAAAAATATGTTGTAATCTAATTTATAAATTTATAATTTAAGGTACAAAAATTGTGTACAATAAACTTTATCTCTATAGATCATAATTTCAAAGACCAGATGGATTTTGCATCATGCAAAATCCATCTGGTCTTTGAAACTAAGAGGATTGCTTTTATTCATTGTTATAAAATGCTATGCATAAGATAGAAGATACTATTGTAGTGCACTAATTTCCTTCATACTTCATTTCCCTATAGAATTAATCATACTTGTGCATATATATTTATTATATAATATATTTGTGCATATATATATATATATATGCACAAATATAATTAATTCAATAGAAAATGTATGTATATGTATGTACAGACTATGTTCTACAAAAAGCATTGCAAGCAGAAAAGAAAATATGAAATCAGTTTAGAAAAATGTTTTTCAATATTTTGTTCAGAAAAGTATATTTAAATTATCCATCATTTCTGAAAAGATGAAACAATATAATTAATAACAAAAAAAAAAACAAAATCAGTTTTATAATAGAATTATTAATGTTGTACATAATGTTTTACTTCATAAACATTTAATGTTGTATTATAAGCACACATTTATTGTTTTCTATATCAATATGATTTTTTATATGTGAAAGTTATAATTGTTGTAAATACTCCTAAACAAATAAGCATTTAGATAAAAAATCTTTTGCAATTGAAGTTATATAGGAGGACATTATTCAATTGAATAAAATTACAATGTTAGCATAAACTTTAAATATATCCAAAGATAAACATAATATAAATAACATTAACTGTTAAATGAATGTTAGCAATAGATTTCCACACATTTGAAATATCAATGTGTTTGTATTCTCTTACACTTATAGGCAGTGAATGTACTTAAGTTTAAAGAAGGCAATAGTGCCAAAAGGTGTCACTTCTAGATTAACTCTTTCTGTACCAAATATCTTGGTAAAGTCTTTGTAGCCTTTCACTCAAATGTTCTATTTGTACTGTACCTTGTTTTACTGGTTTACTTGATGTGCTTATTTATATTGTTATTTCTGTTAGAATAGACTGTTATTATTTATATGGGTTTGAAAGGATTACCTGATTCATTGTGTATGTTTTGTTCATATATACAGTAAATATATTTATTTTTAATTGTTTTATTTTAATATACACATACAGTATATAATAAAATTATATACTGTATTGTTGCCTGAAAACAAGATAAAAACTAAAACTAAAGAAATTGTAATTAGTCTACTCTAAACTACCTTCAAAATATTTGAACTCTAGCAAGTAGAAATATTGATGGCCAACCCAAAAGGAAGATTAAAGACACTCTTAGAGCTGGGACAAGCAGAAACCATAAATACTGTAAATAGTTAAATAGTGTGAGGGCCCGGATTTAAGATTCGAATATTTTTATTCATTAGATTAAAAGTTAGATTAAAAAGTTAGGGTTAACTCCAAACGAGAAAAACAACCGACAAATTTTCTCATAAAAATCGCTCATAAAATTCTGTTCCCACGGGGATACTTCCTTGTAGAGGATGAGTTAATCATTGTGTCATAATTTTGTCACTTTGCCCACCATTGGTCAACGAAGATCATCACCTGTGACGTACATGGGAAAATCTCGAAAAGAGAGCCCCCATATAAAAGACAAGTGCAATGACGACACAAGGGGGGAAAGTTATTTTCTATACTGTGTGTGTGTGGATTACCTGCCTCTCATCGCCACCATCTTCCATACAATTCTTTACAATTCTGACTTTGATTATGACTTTAAAATTTGACTTTGAACTTTGGACTATATTACGAACCCAGGAGAACAAGAACCTACATCCACATTATAACTAGAGGTATTTATTCTACTCACGATGATATGTAAGCTCTCTCTCAAATATTCCAAACTCACGGTTAGGGTCGCGACTAATTTACATTTTGCCCGCTACTTTATGAACTATACGGATTGAAACCACCCAGAGGGATTTGTATCCTCGACTCTTCCAATAATTAACTATGTAAAAATGCATACTAATAAACGGGTATTTTGTTAACAAACTTGGATTGGTGTGCGTTTCTTCCGACTTGATTTGTTAACTTCAAAACTTGATTTGTTAACAACTTGGATTGGTGTGCGTTTCTTCCGACATTATCCACTCCATGCAGAACCCAAGGTCCTGCACGCGATTGGTCGTAATAATCATAAAACATTACATCAATTGTAAAAGTAAGAAGAATAAAGCAGTATTCATCTTATTTTATTAAAGATAAAATTTGATTAAAAAAACATTTTTTGGCTTTTGAAAATATATACTATATATAATAAATTTAAGATTTAACATATGAACATATATAAACAACATATAAATAGAATATAATTACATAATTTAAGATAATAAAATTTTTATATTCATCAAACTCTTAAATTTTCAATTTATATATTATGTTATTTAAATATTTCATTGTGATCTGAAATAGCTTTCAAAAAGCCAAAAATATTTATCCAATAAAATTGTTTGCAAGTGTAAACAAATTTCACAACCAGAAAGCACATAGAGTAAAAAATATCACCATAATAATCTAGTAGTGTGTTTAATTCAAACATCTAACATTTTCAACATGTTTGGCTGTCACTTTTTTATTTAATTAAATACATTTGTAATAGAAGATTGTTCAAACATTTGTGTTTATATTCTATGTCCAAAAGAAATTCCATGTTTCAGATTTTATTCTTTGTTATGTTTTATTGATGTTTACCTGATAAAGGTAATTCAACATGGTCAAAAACGTTAGTTGTTTAAATTAACATCTTTCCTGGAATATTTTAGTAATATTTTTTTTATATATTATTTGTAGTTTTATGAAGGTTTCTAATAAAAAATAATAATATTTGAATTATTTATAAAATTTGTTCATATAAAATATTTAAAATCATGAAAACCAACAGAATTTTCTGCTTACTTACGGACTGCTTCTTGATTAGATATGGTGTTTCCAATAAAAATGAAATAATATCAATAAATGTCTGAAAATAGAGATTTTGAGGTAATTAATTAATAATAATTAAAGAATTTATAATTTAATATCTTAAATCACTTATGTAATTAGTAAATTTTATAATAATGCTTCAATATAATAATGATTTTAATATAGAATATTTATTTTCATATTCATATATTCAATTAGTTTGATAACATACATCTGATATATTCCATGAAATATTAAATTGATCATTTATATTTTCATAATAATCAAGCATTCCTTCTAGCATTTCAGCAATTGGTTCACCCTCTGCATGATGAAGGTTAGACTTTTTATCAAGAATATATGCTTTAAGCTCTTGAATTATTGTTTCTAAATCTGTCAAGTGATAACCCATCTTCATACTGTCAAACTATTAAAAAAATAAATATTATATATAATTATATAAATTTAATATATAATTTATTACTGCAATAACAAATCTATTATCTAAATATAATGGAATATTAGTTAAGCTTCATATGAATAGATTTCACTAACTTTCAATGAGATAAATGCCCTTATAACTTAAATAAACATTAATGTATGACAATTTGAGGCATTGTGTGAGTCACCAAACCATGCATAACAGCAGAATATCCAAGCAGTGCTGAAGCCTATGTGGGAACATAAGACACAGACACAACTCTCCAGTTACAAACAATTAACCTGGGGCCATATTCTGGTCACTGTCCTGGTCTCTCGTCTCTCGCAAGCCGGTCGCTGATTGGCTAATCATTTGGATTAGCCAATCAGCGAGCAGCTTGCAAGAGACGAGAGACCAGAGACAGCGACCAGAATACGGCCCCTGGTTTATTGTACAGATTATGCTTACAATTATTAAATCTTCCATTGGTGAGAGAATCAAATTGCAGATCATCTCCCTTTTTCTTAAGGAGAACAAGGTTCTTATAGATGTAATCTTCAAAGTCCTTTCAGAGTTTGATGGCCTCAGGGCATTGTCACTTGGCAACCATCAGTTGGAGCAAAGGGTAATAAGTCTGAAGTAGGGATGATGACATTGAAAATGTCTTTTTTTTTTTCTTTCCTGGTGGATGTTCACAATAGTAAAGACAGGTTGAGGAGCTCTTTGTTTTCTTCAAATTGTAGTTTTTATAACTTTTTTCAGGTCCAGACTGATCACTTTGATTGGTTGTTTCTACTCATCTCTGCTTTCCAATTGGTCGCCACTCATTACAAAATGTAACAAGATCAACCTAGATAACAGGATGAGTCAAAATTGTGCATCAATTCGATCCCAATCGAAGATGGTTGATCTTAGGACTTCATTATTCTATTGTTTTAATATGAGAAGTACACTTTTAACAATAATTTCCTCCAAATGTGTCTTTTTGTGGATATAAATTTTCTATTTTTTCTTTTATAGCAGTTTTCTTTCTTTTCTTTCTTTTTTTTTTTTTTGCAGCTTTTCAAAATTTTTTTTTATATATACAATAAAGTAAAATTTATTCATTTGTGTGGTTCCAGTCCACTTCCAGAATCTCACAATCATAGATTGATTTTTATTGAATTGAATTAATTTTCAATACCTCAAATTGTATACAGTACTTAATGCTCTTAAACATCCTAAGTATAACTCTTGAAGTACAATAACTACTGCTCTTCAACATCCTGTTTTCTTATACAGTAGAGCATCGATTTTCCAAAAGTCAATCATCCGAAATGTCAATCATCCGAAAGAATTCCAGTCGGCAAATTTAAATTTTCGCCAGTGCTGTGGCGCTTCAATCTTTGTCTATGTCTTGGGCTACTCAAATATTTTACATTTTTGATACTAAATTAACATCTGAAGTATAATTTTTTATTGTTTTTATATTTTTCAATATATTTATTTTGTTTGTACAAAATAAAAAAATAATTTTTAACGATACAATAGTCTTTGTTAGGCTTAACATCGACGAAAATTCAACGCGAAGCGACACGCAATGGAGAAAAATTTTAACATCGGATACGTTAAACTATTTTTTCGTACATAAATCGGTTATCCGAAATATCAGTTATACGAACAACCCCAGTCCCCAATTGATTCGGAAAATCGACGCTCTACTGTACTTCAATATTTCTTTGCTTTTAATACAAGTTAAGGTAATGATTATCCAAAATAAATGAATAATATTTCTTGTAGAGAAGAAAGACAAATGAAAAGGATTATTAAGTAGAAAAGAGAGGGGATAAAAGATTATGTTTTGGCTTTGGAAGGGATAACAAAACAAGAATGCTGAAAGGGTTAAGAGTCCATTAACCCTTTATTCTTGGCTAACTTACCATAAAGTCCTTATTTATGCAAACACATCCTCAGTTTCAGGGTAAAAATTTTATTGTTTACATGTATTTTTGTGAATTTCCTGTTTTGTCTGCATTCTCAGTGACTGAATGTGTTTTTCTTCACTCTGACAGTATCCGCACAAAAAATGGAATATTTTTTCTATTGCTAGCAGTAAAGCATTAAATTTAGAATTCAGAAGTTTGCTACCCAACAAATTACATTGACAACTGATTAGTGTTTCAACTTCAAATATTACATTTTAGCATTGTTTTTTGCTTTGCATTTTCAGTTTCGATTCTAGTTTTGGTTCCAATCTTTATTAGCATACAGCTTTGCTTTTCAATCACATTTGGACACAAACTGCATTAGCTTTTGTTTTGTTTACTATTTATAATAATCTACAATTTATCCATTTAGTTTCATTGAAGTAATTAAGCAATTACTTACTTGATGCACAATAGTAAATTGTTTAAAAAAGTTGAATTTAGTGACAATATATATGGACTCAACAGTAATTTAAGTATGGATGACCTTTACTTTCATTAAGTCACATTATTTTTTAACATTCTCTGCTACTGGGCATTTTGTTAATACTCCAAAACAAATTTTTTAACAAAATAACTTAATAATTATTAATAAGTCATGAGGTTTCTAAATGTAAAGGTTTAAAGATTATTATTATAACTCCTGTAGTCAGAAAATTTTTTCAGAACTTCATATTCAACTCTGAGCACCAAGTTGGTTGGAGAAATGTCCTCATTCACAATATGGTACAATAGTTAAGAGTGTATCCTGGGTTTTGTCAAAAGTTTTGGATAAAGGTCTCATAAAATAAGATTAAGTGAAGCAAAAAGAGAAAGTAATTATTTTCTTGTTTAATGAATTATGGAAACTTTTTGGGAGTTCAAACTAGATCCCTAGAAACATTGGAAATCTAAAGAAATTGTGAAGCAAGTGATGATTGGATCTTGTCTGCCTTTATCTGAGTATTATTTTTCCTGTATGTATTTTTTTTTTTCAGTCAATATTCTCTATTCTATTTACCTTTCATTTCTTTTTTCTTGTAACATACAGAATATGTGTCTTTTTTGAGATTTTTGGGTTTTTTTTAGATGGTAACTATCATATATTCATGAATAGAAGTTGTATCAACTTCTATTCATGAATATATTGATAGTATGAATATGAATATTAATGGGATTCTAAATTATCACTAAGACGGTAACACAATAATACTAAACAAGTCCAGTATTCATTTACTGGACATGTTTACTATTATTGTGTTACTGTCTTAGTGATAATTTAGAATCCTATTAATAGGGTGTATGTAATAATTTGTAATTATTGTACTATGAACATATATTGTAATGTTGGCAATTGCCACCATATATTCTGTTTTTTGTACATCATCCAATTGATAAGGGCCAATAAGGCCAAAATGCATTTTGGTTAAGTTAATTAAATAGGCTGTGTGTGTAATAAACCTGTTCATTAGTCATAAGTAACTAATTAGTTTTCTGTAATCATTAGATTAGTTCTTTATTTTCTATTAAGGATATCATCCTATTGCAGAATTTCTAATCATTAGAGATTTTAGTGTGAGCCCAAGGGATTTGAGGACATAAATTTTTGAGTTTAACATATTTTTACATTAGAAGATGAAACAAAAATTTATCGCAAGTTATAACAGAAATAGATCGGATGTCAAATCTTACCCAGTGACAAGATAGGAAGAAAGAAAATCAAGTCCTCGTCCATTTGTTAATTAGTCAACGTGCGCGTGCTAATTAGTCATCATAACAAGTGAACGACCAGTTGGCTCAGTGCCAATGACAATCGTATAAAAACGATCATCACGGGAAGTTCAGTGTGACCGTCCCTCTGCGTGATCATCTGGAAGGTCTGAGTACAGTGTCTCCTATCCCTTTCCTGTCCGAGGAGAAGCCGGTTGAAGACATAAGCCTGTGTGACAACTAGCCAGCTTCCATAGTCCAGAATGATCATCGCACACCATCATCCAACATAAGGTATACCTGACAGCAATAATATAACTCTCTCACTCTAGAGCCTTTGTATACTCTCTCACATGGCATAGTGAATAGTAGATTGCCTTTATAGACAGATTTATGTGTTATCTATATCTAAGCAATAATCAGTAACTTCCTTATGTATACTCCTGTAAATTAACTTTAGTTATAGAATAAACCTTTATTTTGTTATTTATTAAACCCGTCTCCTGTCTCTCCGAGGAAACCTGTCGACTTACTGACGCACTCCCCACTCATTTTGCCCTCCTAGCCATCCGAACGACTCCGAGATCAGGCTTCACCAGCCTGTGAAGATTAAGTGGTCAGTACGAGATTAACCTCTGACCCACTGCTTATCTCACATTAGCATGTTGTCAATTAGTCATTCAAATTTCATAAAAAGTTAATAATTCTGGCTTTAGCAATTGCTTCACCATAAATTAATTTATTGTGGGCAGACCTAAGAAAATCTTTAGTTTTGCCTGATCAACTAAGTTTAGATATCTCATGGAACAGTCATATAATGTATTGTTAAATGAAAAATATTAAAACTTTTTAACTGAAAATATTTCAAAGAATTCTGTGTTAGAAATTACATCATTAGTATTTAATTCTTAACATGAAATTTCAAAATTTTGAAATACAATGAAATCTTAGTGAAATCAATTCATATATTTAACTTAACTTTGAACAAAATGAAATAAATGCATTCAAAACTTATGAAATACTCTGTAAATGAGAGAAAGATGATGGGATTAAAAGAAAACTGAATGAAATGAAATAAAATTTATTATTTTTATAATATTTTTCTCAAAAGTGTTCATAAAGAAATAAGATAATTAAAATTAAAATATACAAACCTGAGTTTTAATACTTTTCAATCTTGCTGATAAACATGAAGAATAATCAGGTTCTTCCCAACTTGCAACATTACCTTTTCTAATAACACATTTTCTACTGATAATACCTACAAATTTTGTAATTTGAATTAAATTTATTTAAAATATACAGCTGTATGTGATAATATTACAATAAAAATAAAATAGGCATGTCAGAAAATGTATGTATTTGAGGATAATGATAGTTTTACTTAAGTTTGGGATCCCAGTAATACTGGTTAAAATCTAAAACTAAAAAATTCAATGATCAATACTGGTTATTAGGTGTCAGCTTTCTGTAGTTTTTTAATACAATGGGTGATCAGTTAATGAACAAATCGGATAAACACTTTTGCAAAAGATTTTTATGTTTAGACAACAAACACTTCACAGAACAAACACAAGAAGCAGCAACATAAAATAATGAATACCGATTGTCTTCCCTTGTCTTCAGGCAAAAAAAATTTGAAACTTTTCGGAGCACAGGAGACATCAACATGGACGCTCAACCTGGTATATACTGATCGGATAGTATTCCTCCGAACTTTGAAACTCTCCCTTGTAATTCCAGCCTTTTATTTTTCTGACAGAAACAATTCTTTTATAATATTTGTGAGACTGTCGGCCAGGCACTCGTTAAGTTTTGCATCGGTTTTTATTTTCGAAAGGTGAGAGTATAATAGCTAAGGTAAAGTTAGAGAGTGAGCAGATGTCTGATGTTGCTGGACAGTATGGCTTGAACAGGTCTACAGTAGGCTGCAGTTCAATCTTATCTAAGAAAGATACTCAAGAAGACTCAAGCAGCTAAAGGAGTAACAAAAATCAAATCTGAGAAATAAAGAACATTGAAGAGTTCATAATGGAATCTGAAACTGATCTGATGACAGAAAAATGCCAAGAACTCCTGAATAAAGAATACCAATAAACTCCAATTATTTTTGATTTGGTTGCTGTTGGATAGAATACAGGACAGAATAATGTCCAGGTATGTGTTAATATTTGACAAAATATCCTCTTCGGCGAAGTCCATATTGGTATCGTCAGAAATAGAATTTTCCACAGAGGGTGCCATTGGGCTCATAGGAGACTAAGCAGCCAGAGGAACCCAGAAAATAAGCCAGATGGCCAATAGACTCAAATGACAGCCTTGCCAGAGATATGACAAGTGTGCTAGGACACACAAATCCCTGGTTAGGGTAAATTAGAGTCTCCGGGTTAGGGTTGGATTGAGCGGTATGAACAATAGCCTTTGTTCCAGGCCACGTATTGTAAAACTAAAACAACAATTACTCAAAAACAACTGCCCTGATTCTCAAAAAATTTTACCACTTAAAAGGTAACGGGAGCGTGTGCCTGATTCCCAAAAGTTATCCCGATCGTTGCGATAACGATCTGCAGGGGTAGACTGAAACCTTGCTGACGGAGCATTGCGTAACTTTGTTAATAACGATTGTAAACTTATGATCAAGAAGCCAATCGATGCAGCGAGGAGCGATGAACAAGTGGTGAAACTACTACTTACGTGATTTGAAAGGCCAAAGCAAGGAAAGTGTCCCTCGATGTCTGAAAGTTTCCAATTGCTAAAACTTCTCACCAGATAGTCCGATTTTGTTAGTGAATACCTCAATGAATAGTATTTGAAAAGCTATTTCCAAAAATATATCACTTTGCACTTTGTCTGTGCAAAGTGATATATTTTTGAAAATAGTTAAAAAGTTCTTCAAAATTTTACAAAATGGATCACTGTGGATGGTGTCCCACCTTCCTCACGTACCTATAGCCTTGAACTCCCAAAAGTAAGAATCCCTTTGTTTCATATAGCATGGATTTGCATAACATGGTGCTTTTTCAGAACCTAAATATCCCTGTATAACTTGGTAGTTATATTTTAGTTTGACTGGAAATGTTTTCCAAATATTGAAAAATATAATTACTACCAGTTTTGCAGATATTCTATCAAAATACTGGTATTTTGAAAATTTGTCTGTTATTGGAATCCCATTTATTTTACTAAGTTTACAATAAATATTTTAATAAAATAACAAATTTTTCTCTAGACAAAATTCAATTTTTTCAGATTTACAAGAAACAAATGGTTTTAACTTATTAAACTAAAACTAAGTATAAATCTTTGTTTATGTAATCATGTTTTGAGAGGAAGGCTGTTATGGAATGATGTTATAAAAGGATGATTGCAGGAAGAAGGAAATGAGGGAGAAGAAGAATTAGTATAACTATCCTCGTTTAACTACAAGCAATCAATGCCGTATGTATCAGGCTAAATGATGGCTATAATACTAATAATTTATGAAACAATTTTGTACTAGAGGGAGGAATTAGGTGCCGTCTCTTAATAAATTTAATAATTATAATTTAATTAAATCTACTGGAAGAAAAGAATCAGCCCGGAGCAGGACTCAAACCCACAACTCCTGCTTACCATGCAGATGCATTGCCAATTATGCTACCCAAACCTCTGGTCCGATCTCGTCTTCCAGTATATATAACATTATGTTACAACCATCAACGGTTATTACAGTGCCGGCTGGTGACGCATCCAATGCTCATGTCCAGTAAACCACTCCAATGTGTTCCAGTAGTTCTAAATTATTTAATTAAAAATTATAATTATTAAATTTATTAAGAGATGTAGCCTAACACCTCCCTCTAGTTTCATAATTTATTAGTGTTATAGCCATTATCTAGCCTGATAATGGCTATAACACTATTTTAACTCTTTTAAGTCATCCACAAGGATGACTTAAAAGAGGATAGTTATGAGGAGCTAAAGACAAGAATGCAGGATAGAGTAGCATGGAAAAAGATGTGGTGCTCACTTGATCTGCTATAACTAGCAGAAAACTAAAAAAGAGGAATCGTATTTATTTATAAAACATGATTACATAAATATTCCAATGTCAACATATTTACCTTCATATCCATGAGGACAATTCTGAAGATTAACTGTATTAGCAGCAGTGATACTCCATTCTACATTTTTATGTCTCTCAGATTGACATATTGGTGTTTCTATTAATTTAAGCAATAAGAAAAAAAATTAAATTTTAATTGTATTTATTCCAAATTTATTTAAATTTTTAATTTTCTATGTTTTCATTATAAATTTCTCTTATTCAGAATATAAAAATTGTTTATAATTAAAATTACCCTATAATCTTAAGCTGTTCAAATGTAATTTGTTTGATTTCATAATATTAATTAATTACTTTCATAATTTTCTTTAAGTCTGTAACATGCATGATTGTTATTTTCCACTCTGAATTCCTTGAGAATAAATATTAGTTCAACAATCCTTAATGAAGGAAATGCTGTTTAAAGCTTCACAAAACCACTTTTTCAAATTTAAGCAATAACAATTTTTAAAATTATATATCACTAAAATTAAATTTTTCAAATAATTTTTCAAATAAAAACTTTTAATTGTTGTTCTCAAATTTATTGTAAAAAATCAATTATTTGAGTCATGTTATTAGGCTATATTACTACTTCTAATTAATAAATTTTTAAAACAATATTTTAGTAAATAAAAATAATGATATTTTGACTTGCTAATAATTTGATATGATATCAATTATAGTTAGAGAGAAAGTTGAATACATAGGTTGATCAAGCTATTCTTTGTGACCACCAAAAAGATAAAATTAGAAATAGTCAATTTTCTTTACAATATCCTATGCAATCCAAAATCTACTAACCACAAAATATGACTGTAAACATTTAACTCTTGTTGCTGATATTTGCTATTGAATTTGAATTCAATAAAAAATCATTATATTTATAAAAAAATTTTATTATTGTAAGTGTATACAATCAGAAATAGTCTGTGATAATTGCATTTGCTTTATATCCATAAATATTAATTACTTTTTGGTCTAAATTTTATTTATTGATTAGAATTAATAATCTATGTCTTTTTATTAAATATGTATATAAAACATATATTATCTAATTAAATAACTGCAATGGCTTTTATGATGGAATTATCATTGAAACAGTTCAATAATGGCTTTATATTAAAATCTTATAATAGATTTAAATATTGTGAATTGTAAAAATTGTGTCAAATTGATATTAAAGGTCCTCAGAATTCACAATAACAGAAAGAATTCAAAAGAACTGTTCCATTTGAATTTGTAGCTCACTGAATAGGTGTAAAATGAAAAACTCAAATCAAATTTTAAAAAATAAATGTAAATTTCTTTGTAACATTTAAAGCGTAAATCATTCATTTAGCAAAATATGATACATCTATCACAGGTAAAGGATTGAAAGAGCAGTGCAATGTAATTATTATTATGTGCTGTATCTTTAAAAAAAATTGAAGGTGGAAGAGAATTTAATCTTTCAAACTAACATGAATGCAATTTCTTTAATGAACCATAAGAAGTAATTTGTAAAAAAGAAATAAGGAAAAAAAAGATGATGATAGTATCATTTATAATGTAATATTATATAGTGTAAATAATAGTATTCATGGCAATGTTATAGTAAAAAATAGAGAGGTTGCGGCCAAAGTTTGAATGTTAAACTTGTATGGCAAAGCAGAAGTACACATTTGACGTTTGAACTCAAAGTAAAACACATTGTACCATATGTTTACATCCCACACTGATTCACGGGATATTATTGAAAAATGGCAGAAACATTTAACAATGACGAATGTTACCAGCTAAGGTAAATAAATAAATTAAACTATTTTAAAGTATTTATAGGATTTCTCCACAACACTGTATTAACGCAAAATTAATCAACCACAAACCTTTACGGTGCGAAATTAAATACAAAAATCCGGTTAAAAAGTTCCCACAAACGTTTTCGAACCCACTTAGGTTCTTCTTCAGGTGAAAAAACTTAAATACTTAAAAAACATTCGATGGAATCCAAATTTGAATGAGAAACGATCAACTAATACGATGAATTCTGCCGCTGTCGTCATCAATACGCATGCGTATTTTACCGATGTAAACATTTTTCTTTTTATAGAATATTTTCTCTGTCCTGTATAAGCATTTCCCACGCTAGGGATAGAGATAATTCCTCCTTATTATTAATGCACCTGTTGTTTCGGGCCGCTTTATATATAGACATTGCCTCTATCCATCTTAGATGTTCCGTATGTGGTGTGGTGTGAATGATTCTAGCCTCACTAAACTTAGGTTCGATATCTGGATCTGTGGCATAACGAGCGAGTGCCGTGGTTATTCTTCCATGCTGTATGTCTGCGATGTGTTCTTTTAATCTGACAGATAACGAGCGTTTAGTGGATCCAATGTATAATAGCTGTTCATCACATCGATGATCCTTCAATGGGATGGTATATACTCCCGAAAGCATGTGATTGTTGGGAGGATCTTTAGCATTACGGAGTATATTAAAGACCGTGGGACATCTCCT